ACCGCCCCGGGGGCGCGGCGGGCGGGCGAGGGAAGGAGGGAGGAGGCGGCGGGGAACGCTGCCGGGTGCGGGTGCCGGGCTCCCGGCCCCCGCGGGGCGGCAGAGAAGCGCCCAGGATGTCGATGTCGTGAAGCCGCAGCGGGCTAATCCCGGCTACTTAACCCGGCTAGCGCCGGGGGCTGAGCACCACCTTAATCCGTGGCGTGTGCGCGCCCGCCCGACCGCCGGGGGCTGCGGCGTGCCGGCCATGCCCGGTCGCGCGGTCCGCGGCGGCGCCGCTCCCGGCAACTGCGCTCCCGCGGAGGCTCACCCCGCATCCGCTGCCCTCAAGGTCACGCCGCGCCCCAGCTGCACGGCGGTGTCTAGGTGCACGCTCCGGCTACCTGGGGGGAAAACCGGAGACAGCCCTGAACGCAGCACCCAGCCCCACCGGCTGTCCCGCTGCCATCACGGCCCCGCCGTAAGCAGCCGCGCCGCTCGTCACCTCCCCGGCCGAACCGTGCCACGGCCCGCAGCCCCACGGCGTGAACGGAGCAACGCTGCACCTGCCGCCGCGCCGCTGCACGCCGCGGCCAGACAGCCGGGAGAAGATCTGCCCCACGCCGCCGTGCTTACCTCGGCGCCTCGGGGCCGACCCCGCCACGGGCCGGGAAGACGTGCCCGTGAACCTGCTGCCGCCCGCCCGCTCTCTCGCCGAGCGCACAAGGTCCCCACGCTCTCCGCCCAGCCCACGGCCGGCCGGCCCCGCCGCGCCGACCCGCCCTGCGGCCACGGGAGGAGGGAGGAGGGCGGGAGAGGGGGCGGAGGGGAAGCGGCGACCGAATTGGGGAGGAAGGGGGGGGGGGAGGGAAGGAAAGAGGGAGGGGGCACCGGTGCGGGGACAGCCGGGGGAGGAAGGGGGGTGGGGGGATGCGGACAGCCCGCCCCGCCCCCGTCGCCTCACCGGCAGGAACCAGCGATTCGCTCTCCTGGCGGGCGCTGCCGCCGCCGTTCGCCGGGGCCCGCCCGCCTCCTTCCCCCCCGCACGCACCGGGCAGCGCCGACCGCGCCGCAGAACAACCGCTACAGGAGCCGGGCGCCACCGGGCGGGGCGGGGCGCAGCGATCCGCCCGCCTCCCTCCTCCGCCCGCCGCGGTCACTCACTTGTCCGCTCCCCCCTCTCCTCTCCCCTGCCGCAGCCACCGGTGCCCGACGCCCCCCTCGCCGCCTGCGGAGCGCGGGTCACGTGACGGGGCCCCTTGTGAGCCCAGGGAAGGGGGGGTCCTGACGTGCGGCGTCTTCAATGGGAGAGGTGGCGGGGGGGGTGCCGATAGGCACGGCGCCTGCGGGGGCGTGGCCCTACACATCGCCCCGCCCCTCCGCGGCCGCCACTGGCGGGCTGGCGGCTGACGCTCTTGTTTCCATGACGTCGGTGGGCGGTGCCACGGCGTTTGATGGAGCCCGGCGGGCTTCGGGGGTCGGTGACTTTGCCACTAGCGGCTCCCGCGGGGCGGGCTGCGAACGGGGCGGGGCGCGTGACTCTGTGTGTCCGTCCCCCTCCACCCGCGCGTAGCGGGGCCGCCGCCAGCCGGGATGGGGACTGCCTCGGCGGGGCGGGGATCCCCCCGGCGGCGACAGCGGGAGAGGCCGCGGTCCCGCAAGGGGCGGTCCGGAGCGCGCCGGTTGCCCCTGTGGGCGGGGGCCGGGGCCGTCCCGGGGGCGGGGGCGACACTGCCTGAGGGGGGCGTAACCGTGCGGGGCCGCCCTAACGGTCCGCCGGGGCGCGGTTCGCCCCTGCCCCACGGGGGCGCGGCGCCAGCGCCTTGTGGCCTTCTGGTCTCGAGGACGGCAGCCGGGTGGTGCTGAGTGCCGGGTCGGTGCTTGTGGGAGCAGCGGCCGCGGGGGGCACGGCGGAGCCCGGGAGAAGCTCTGCTGCGGTTGCGGGAATGAACCGGCCGGCCCCATGAGTTCAGAGTTGAGTCATCTCGGGAAGGTCCGGAGCGGCGGGAGCGAGCGTGGCGGTCGCTGCTGGTGGTGGGAACCGCGGAGCAGCGGGTCCAGCCGCCCGTCAGGTCTGCCTGCCTCTCAGGGGACCCTCACAGCTCCCGCAGGAGGACGGGGAAGGTAAAAGGGCCACAGGTGTTCAGCACCTCTGCGTCTCCAGCTGAAGGCTCTTCGGTTGGAGATAGAAAAATAAATGGGGTTATGAAGGCCTGAGCCCAAGTGCGCTGTCTGGGGGAGTAACAGGGCTTAGAATTAAACTGGAAATTAAAGACCCTGATTTCAGTTCTCCCAGTGTAGTGCATCACACCCGGCAGTGAAAAATCCCCATCCATAAGCTATATGTAATTCTGTAACCACTTTGCGTGGTTTTTCCAGCCTTGTTTTCACATCCTACCCGCCCCTCCGCTGGGCACCTCGCTGGAATGGCTGGCCAGCTGTGCCATAGGCTGTCGGGTTCCCTGAGCCTACCATAAATACCCTGCTTCTCCTTTGTTACCGCTCAGATCCCGCCGCTGCCAGAGCCGGTGCTGCGAAAGAAACAAAGCGGAGAAGCTGGTGTATCCCTACTGTTGCAGACCCGAGATGGTGCAGAGCCTAGGGGGTTAAAGCAACAGGATGAAGTCAGCATAAAACAGCCTACAAGGACTGGCAAATAAATAAATCATCCTGACTACGTTATTATCATGGCTTGCCTGAGCTTCATTGTCTTTTTCGTTCTTACCTGAATGCCTGTTACATTTTTCTGCTTGTTCAAGAAAGGCAATCAAAAGGGACTGTGAGCAGTAAATGGCTCCTGCCCATTCTGGATGTTGCTAAAAATACTACCTTACCTCTCTACATCTAGAGGTCAATTGAAAAATCGAAATACTGAGGTCAGCAACCCTGCAGACTGTTCTGTTGAGGAGATTTCTTTCATTTCTTCCCAGAAGGAGAATATAAAACTATCTGAACGCATATGAAAAATTCTCTCACATTCTGCTTGCAGCTCAGCACCCTCCTCTGCACTGATGGCTATAGCTCAGCAAGGCTTCCCCAGGCACTTGGAAATTGCATTTCTGGATACAGCTTTGTAAGACTAGCAGATGTGTTCTGCACTGTTCTGTCATATCTCCCAGCTCTCAGGCAGACAAAATTAGCTTTGGTACAGCTAAGGAGATGGTGTGTTCAATGTATTGCAGTTTGAGTACATGTCTGTACCTGCTTCCTTTTGTCTTAGGGAAGGTAGGTAGATTGTGCTTCAGTTCTTTGTCTGTGAAATGGGAATAATATCCTATTTATTTTGCAGGAAGGAAGCAAAGGCGGGAGGGGTACACATCAACATTAATTTTTTTGTGATACTGTTATGGTGGAATTCTCTAAGTGGATACATTTTTCAAGGCGCAAAATATTTCTTTAATGTTCCTTTTGCACTGATATCAAGAGTCAGCATAAAAACATGGAATAGATGGACTGAAAGTGAGAATAAATCCCTTCTGACTCTACAGAATCTTCTCCTGGAGGAAGAGCTAGAAGTAAAACCCCAAGCTATGAAACTTCATGATTTTTGTGAGAAAACAGGCACTCTTATATCTAAAGGTTAGGGCATGGCACTGACTAAGAGAAAACGTTCCATGTAATGTAGGTCACCAGTCATATAAAGCAAGCAAAATCAAGATGCACAAAGGAACATTTCTGGAGATCTTTTATTTAACTTTTGAGGAAGCATTACCATTTCAGGAAAATTCGGCATGGCTAGCAGACAATTTGGAAAGGCCAGACTTGACAAATCAGTGACAATAGCTCAACTCATTCTGTGACCAACACTAACAACACAAGTATCATATGTCTTAACAGACCCAGAAATTCACAGAGAATTTAAGTGGGTTGCCTGAATCTGGTCTACTTACTATGAGACTTTTAACATGAAGGGTATGAATCAGAGTATTTAGATTATTACAGTATTTGAGGAAAAATTAATAAGGTGACCAAGGTCTAAGTGACCACCTCACATCCCATCCCATCCCACATTAAAAGAGGGAGGGGCCTTTTGGCAAGATCAGATGAGAGGCTTGACGCCAGAAAATAGAAAACAGACTGTAGTTTGTTCATAGATCTAAACTTTATTTTATTTGAAACTTGTTTCTTGACTACCCTGCTACTGCTGATCGTGTTCAAACTCAGTCACTTAATTAAATTTGATGAAACTGGAGAAAACAGAGAAAGCATGAAAAGTTGGGAGAAAGTCTGTTTGTGAGCATTCAGAGATGAGTTCCCAAAGCTTCCATGGCACTTGCAGAGCGAAAAGTTTTCTGTACCAGCTACACTTCTCCCAGTTGGCTTTCTCAGCCCAGTACTATTGTTTGACCCCTCTCCACAGACCACTCTGGAGAAGATCCCAAAAGATTCCCCCTGGCTGGGGCTCTGTTCCAATCCTGCTGGGCAGGGTAGGCTGTATCCTGTGATGGTTCCAGCATCCTGCATCCTACAGATCAGCCTATTGACTAAAAGACCAGACAGCCATCTAGATAAGCAAGCCGTTGACCTCTCGCTCATCTTGTAGGTGTCACAGTGATCAAATTGTTCTATCATCCACCCATGCAGCCTAACAATGACCTTGTGGTACAAAACGATATTGTGCAATTCACCCTGAAATTGTCCACCCCCTACCCCTTAGGAAAGAGGCCTATCTGTAAACATTTGCATTTTTATCAGCTCAAAAGTCTTTCTCTTGACTGTTCAAGAGCTCAAGATTTGTGCATAATGTGTTTCCTGTTGTGAATGCATATGGTAATTTAAAAGAGTTGGATTTTTTTTTTAAACTCATTCCATTTACCTCAAAAAAGTTTTAGTTTGGGTTTTTGTTTTTGTTTTTTTTCTTTTTCTTTCAGTGTTATGTTCTTTCAGTGTGACACTGCAGGATAAGGAAGGTGAAAAATGAAAATGACATAAATAAAGGCATGTGAGAACCAGCAGTTATTGCACAAATCACTTTTTCATATATATTATATCTGAAATACATTGGAAAGAATACACTGGACTTCATATATTCACTGTGTCTTCTTTACATGTTCTTTTCAGGTGCCACCACAGGACAGCAGCATTACAGCCCCAGACCAGATGAAAGAGTGGAAAGATATTTCATGAACAAAGGTGCAACATCTACATGCAAAGAAAAAAAAAAATAACAAAGCATAAAATCCTGGAATTGATGGAGAATATGGCTAACTAAAGGACTTAGATCAGGCAGAGGAAAAAAAAAAAAAAAGAGCAGAGTTGGGAAACTGTACTTTGCTAGAAAAAGCAGGAAGAAACATGTTTGGGAAGCTTTTAATGGTAAAATGTAAAAAAAAAATAAAAACAAATATGGATGTGATGAGACTATATGACCATGGCTGCCTCTTAGAAAGTGAGAAATGACTAGTAGATGAATGTGTACTATTTCTCTGCAAATAATGTACTGGTAGAGCTGAAGAATCCACACAGTGAGCACCCAGTCACCTCCACTGCAGTGGCTTTTCCTATGTGGCCAATTTTCCAAATTCCCCAATTTGGAGCTGATACTTTCTCACCATGGCCTCACCATTTCATTGCTGAATTCGTAAAGAATTGCAGGAAGGCCAAAGACTAAAGCTGTCTGGAAGCAAATCTGTCCAGTTCACTAGAAGGGTTTGTTATAAATAACACTGCTGTCGTCTCCCTGGAGCTGGTCTTAGCCATGGTCTCTCGTGTCTGTCCTTGGTATGGGTATGTATCAGTCAGGCAGCTCACCTGTCACCCCAAGACTCAAAATGTGGGAGTATCCATTATACTTCCCAAGGTGCAAAAGTGCTTTGGAGGTACATGGTATGTACAATTCTGTATTAAAATAAGAAGTGTTAGTTCATTTGATTTGTAGCACTGTGGGTGCTTTTAGATGTGTTGCTTTTTAAGGCTTCTCTGCTGAACTTGCCTAACAAAATTGTGGTCTTATCTTTGAGAGCATGTTGTCATCTGATGTTAGTTTGTGAAGATTCATTGTTTTCACTCTTTTTGTGGGCCTGTTCCAATTCATGCTGACTGAATATCTGCTTCATGAACTGTAATGTTGTGATCCTCTCCTCTGTGATCAAGTGTCAGGGAAGGGGTTTGTTTAATTTTCCTCCCCTTCCCAAGATAGGAAGAAATACGGGCAACCAAGCTATCTTCTTTCTGATGCTAACTGGCCAGTCTGAGTCATGGCTTCTGACTCATAAAAATCAGTTTTAGGAAGAGTAAATGTAGCCCCTCCTGTCTCTCATCAGTGATGGGTAATTGTCTTGAAGAGAATAACACATTATCTCAGTGATGCTACTTCAAAGTCCTTTGGATAAGAAAATAGATAATTCAGTTAAGTCGTGGGTTCTTTCAGCAAACATTAACATTTCTGCCCCTTGGCGATTGTTCAAGATGGCTTTGAAACATTTAAGAGTCATTAGAGCTAATAGCTCCCATTCTGTGTTTCCTTCAAGGAGGAGTATCAGAAAAAAAAACCGCACTACCTTATTCCTGCTACCTTAGTCAAGAATTAATCACTTAAATGATAAACAGTGACCTGAACATACTTGAATATATTGTTTTATTTGTTGATCAGATACAGCTCTAAATCATCTAGGCTGGTTTTAAGAAAAAATTCCCAGCTATCTAAAATTGCATTTAAAAATATTAATAGCAACCTATTTCACATTCATGGTTTCAAACTCTGGGCTCAGCCTTGCAAGCCTTATTCAAGAATAATCGTTTCCAGGTTACAAATAAGAGATCTGAAGATGATCAAGATAAAAATTTGGATGTTTGTGAAAAGCTGTGGATATACAATATCTAGTGCCAAAGCCTTAAATAAATAACTCTTCACAGTCGTATAAATTGTAGTAAAAGTATTACATAAAATGTTTATACTCGTGTGCATAGAAAATCAAGTATGATTAGAGTTCTTAAGCATAGATTATGGGCAGTCATAAAAAGAGAGTTTTGACTACAGTGTTGTCTCTATTAACAGGCTATTATATAACTATAAATATTAAGGTGAGCAGGAGCAAACTTTTAAAATAGTTAAGAATGTAGCTTGTTAACTCATAAAACCAAGGAAAATGAACTGAGCTGTTGTGACATCTACTATACCTCTATTATGTACTGATAGAAAAGATCAATAGGATCTTCCTCTGCGTAAGTTCCCTTTTGTAAATTGGATAACATGGCAGCCATGTATTGAACCACCAGAGTTTAAATATATCATGTTATGGGCACATCTAGTAATAGTACTGCTGTAGGTTATTTTCAGGCTACAACATGTTATGCAGCCGTAAAGCAGTTTGGTTTAGGATGGAAGCGGATAAAAGAGAAAACTGTTTTGTACATGACAGCAGTCCAAACATTGACAGTTCTGTTATCTTCAGTTCTGACTCGAGTCAGTGAGAGCTGCACATGCTTAATAATTACTAAAACTGACACCTATGTTACTAAAAATACCTCAGATTACTAAAAGAGATTTAAAAATTAATTCCAATAAAAGGCTTTTAGATCTATTCCATTTTAGATCTACAGTAAATCTTAAATTTCTTTATCTTTTGTGTTTCACTCAGCTTGATGTTAAAACCAGCCAGGTCCATTTCACTGTTCAGCCAGTTCTCCGTGCCTTTCACATTCAAGCCCTCAAGCCCCAGCAACGGCTATCGAACTGCAAGCTACACACTGAAGAACACTCCCCCAGGATATCAGAAAGGACCCACAGCTGGTCTGCGAGACTATAGCTGGGAGTAAATGTATGACATGTCCTTGACAACATTTGTAATGTTCTTTAAAAAATGTCAAGGGCTAGTGATAGTCCACTGGTCTAAAGCATCTGAGAAGCACTATCCTAGAGCATTTGTGCATTTTTTGGCTATATACATTTAAAACATATATTTTTTTACTGTTAATGAATCAGTCTTTACAGGAACACTTGCTCTGCAGGTCACAGCAGAAGGATTTATAATGGCATCAGAGTGCGGGATGTTTCAGTCAAGTTCAGCTAGAATCACCTCTCTCCATCATCTGCTCTGGACTAAGAATAGTAGAAGGGAGACTTTCGTTTTACAATGGGGATGACCCAAATGTTCACACTTCTCTGCTGCAGAGCAAAAATGCAGAGATGAACCAACAAAGAATTCAGTCCCATCATAGTGTAGTTTCAGAAACAGCTGATGTATGCATTTGTGATATTCCAGATATCTTTCTTTCGGATTTGCCCAGCCCTGTGCTAAAGTGCTAAACCACACTCTTACACCCTCTCGGTTCCTTTGCATAACTGCTTTTGCTTCCTTTTATATACTCTCTGCTTCTCTTTTCCTTCAGTTTAGCTTTTTTTCCTAAGTAACACCTTTCCCACACTTCCTGCCAACCAAACCAAACCCAACTAAACCAAACCGAACTCCAACATCCTGTGGCAATAATGCATCAGATGGTGATTTGGCGGTTTGTGTTGTTGGTCTGTGGTATTCCTCCTCTTGCCAGTAAAATGGAGTTGATTTGTCCTCACATGGACATCTAAAAGAAGCACATCCAATCCTGTAATAGTAAGCCCAGGATTCCTTTATTGTCAATGCACTGTGGGAAGCTACAGCCTCCAGGAGTACATGCATGTCATACTAAGTTTAATGTTTAGGGTAGTTCTGTAGTTGTCTCTGTTTCTTCTTTCATTCTGGAGGTAAAAAAGGGTGAGTAGTTTAAATTCAAATGTGAAACTCTTAGAAGGTTAGTAGTGGGTGTGTGATATGGACTTGTCTTTCAGACTGCATTATTTTCTGGACTCTCTTAATCTACCAGGCATTACTTTTAAGCAGCCACTGATCTGTAGAATGTATGCCAAGAAGCCAAAAGGAGAAAGATACAGTAGGAGAACCAGGTTTTAAAACAATATTTTGCTAGGTATTTTTAATGAAAGCAGCTTTTTAAATTAGTGCAACTTTTGCTCCCAACTTTTTGTAATTAAAACACAGAAACTTGATATGAGTTGGGTAATCCTTATGAAGTAAATGACATGATCTTTAGTAACAACACAGATGAAGGATGTCTGTGTCCAGCAGAACTATCTGTAAGGAAAGGGCTGTTGGCGTGTGGAAGGCTACAAGGACATGGCTGGTCCATCATGGTCCTGATAGACTGATTCAGTTCAGACTAAACACCCCTGAGAGCGTATACCTTGTTGCTAGACTAGCCATCTATGGGAAGAAAATGACTGTGGATCCCATACTGGATGTAGTGCATGGAGTTTCTTAAGAGTTGAGATGCAGGGTGTTCTTAAGGCTTGAGATGAAGGGTGGAAGTGCCAAGTAAGTTTTGAGATGCAAGGTGGAAGTGCCAGCACTATCACAGCCTATTTTGAAAATGACACTGAGACTTTAACTTTGATCAGTCTAATCACTATGCTTGTCTGCCTCCCACCTTCATGTGGTTCTGTAGAAGTCCATGTTCCTCTGCTGAAGTGCAGGGACAAGTTAGCACTCAAGAAAATTGTCGAGAATCCCCCTCAAAAAAATAGTGTTGGTGTGTACAAATAAATATAAAAATATACATATACATAAAGAGAACTTTAGGAGCTTTAGGAGGGAAGTGTCATCCAAAAATATGACCAGCTAAAACTCTAAACTGGTATTACATTTAGCAAAAGTAATAAAAAATTCAAAATTATAATCCAGCAGTAAAATGTCCATAAATTCTTTTGGTAGTAGAAAATCCAGCTTGTTATATAAAACAAAATTGTTCCTTTCCTTGTTACTGATTTTTTTCCTCATGCATATCCCCCTCCATTTTAATTTTGCTGAGAAGACAAGTAAAAATATCTATTTCAGAAAAAAGTTAGGTCTGATGGTTCTGTATGGGAACCATATGCAAATTTTATTCTTTTTTTTTTAAAAAGAACCAGAACTCTTATGGTAAAGTATGGGTGTTAACCATGAGAAATGAAACCAGCAAGAATTAATTAAGACCTCTAAAGCCAGCAAATAGTGTTGTACAGACAAGTTTGTGAGGTTTGTGTTTCCTCCCTTCCCTTCCCTTCCCTTCCCTTCCCTTCCCTTCCCTTCCCTTCCCTTCCCTTCCCTTCCCTTCCCTTCCCTTCCCTTCCCTTCCCTTCCCTTCCCTTCCCTTCCCTTCCCTTCCCTTCCCTTCCCTTCCCTTCCCTTCCCTTCCCTTCCCTTTTCCTATTTCCTTTTCCTCTTTCTTTCCTCTTTCTTTCCTTTTTCTTTCCTTTTTCTTTCCTTTTTCTTTTTTCTTTCTTTCTTCCTTTCTTACCTTTCTTTCTTCCTTCTTTCCTTTCTTTCCTTTCCTTACTTTCTTTCCTTTCTTTCCTTCCTTTCCTTCCTTTCCTTCCTTCTTTCTACCTGATATTGTTCTCTTTTCTAAGTTAGATACAAAACTACGTGAAGCATTAAATTGGCAGACAAATAAGCCTAAGATAAAGTACCTCTCAAACCCATAAGACCAGGGAATTCAGACATGAAGCTACATCGTTGCTCTTCATCCTGCAGTACTTTTGTGTGTGGAGTTTCTCACTGTTGACATAATACTGAGGTAGGCAAGAACATAGATAATTTTTTCTTCCCTAAAATTTTTTTGGGTTGATGCTGGGGTTGAGGGCTAGGGCTTTTTAATAACATACTACAACACTTTTGTTTTCATGTTTAATGTGTTGCGCACATTGGAACATATTCTTATTTTATTTTTGGTTTTATGGTTGACAAAAGTAAATAAAATGATGTGAGAGAAAGCAATGAATATAATGTATAGCTCATACCTGATTAGATGAGGTTTCTTTTATTATTCTGTTGCAAGTTCCAAACAGAAACATGAATGTAGATCAAGTTAGACTTGTGCATGCCTTTGCAGGTTTAGGACAGAAACTGCCTAAAGGAAGTCAGGAAAATATATTGCTTGCATTGTATCAGAGAGCTTCTGTATCTCTCTCAGAATAGTAATTGTTTTCCATCTGCAATATTAAAAAACACTTGCTAGAACTCTGGTCTGTTCCTCTGAAAGTTTAAACATGTGCTCTTATTTTCCAGTGTTATGAGAAAAAGGAATGTTTTGGGTTTTTTTTCTTAATGTATTTCAACTTTATTGCACTCCTGAAATACATTGAGAAGTATCTGATCTGAAGCCTCCTAGTGTGTGTCATCTTCAGTAGGGGTGCAAGTATCAGCAAGTAGTTTAAAAATAGAATCACTGGGCAGGTCCAATTTATTTTGTTGTTCAACTTTTCCCAGTTTTTACCTGTGGCCCACTGTGAGGAAAGGATGAATGACTTTCCTGAGAGTTCAACTCTTTCAAGAGGTGGTAGGAGGGAGGGAGAAAGAAAATAAATCAACAAAGCCCTAGTTCTGCACAACCCTAGTCAGCTACCACTTTGTATATGTTGGCCTATTATAGTAGAAAGACATTTCTTAATTCTTCAGAGTAAGGAGAAATTAGAGGGATAATGGATCTCAAGGACAAGCCACAGACATTGTATCTTAGCTGTTCATTCATGGACTGATGCAATTTAGCCATCTCCTCTCCTATATTTCTGTGCTGTCTTTCGAGGTACCGTGTCAGTCTACAAGAATTAAAATCTGAGCAGAAGAAATACAAATAGTTAATCATATAAAATGCATTCACCTGTATTCCAGTTCCTTTAATCTATATTTTGAAACACTAGTGAAATAAGAGGTGTAATAAATTCAAATCTACCCAAATTATTTTTCAGTGCTCAAGGTATTGCATTTTTATATCATTATCTACATAAACATCAATGATATGGTCTGTTTCCGCTTGGCCTTAGTCACACCCGTTATTTTTTGGTTCATTTTGTTTTTAAATGTGACTCATGAGGTTTCTCTATGCTGCTTATACAATACTTCTTCCTTCCTGATAATGCCTATTTGTTCTCTATTTTTGGCTTGCTTTTCCATTGTTATATCTAAATTATGTACATTTAGCTGATGAATGGAGGATCTATTTAATTACTATAACCATAATAGAATAGTTATATTTTGCTATATATTAAATGTATTTGAAGAAATAATTTTTAGTATTTGGTGCTTTCGTTTTATTCTTCTACAGTGTTCCTATACTATCATAGTATTCTATGCATTAATTATGATTATCTGACTACAGAACCAAAAAAGCTTAAAATATAATCTGTTTCCCTGAAGAAGAAGATTCACATTATCAAAATCAAATGCAAGAAGGAGTAAAAGGTGATATTTGTGTAAACTGTGGAAGACATTATCAAAGGTTTATGAGGATTCAGATGAGCTAGAATAATGTTTGTGTACATTTTTGTGCTAACTTTTATTGCGTCAAAAAGGGCTAATGGACTATAAATGCAACAGCTTTTAGAAAAAACTAATTCACTAAATGCCAGTACCAGTTTAGTAGCCAAATAAATAAAGCAGTATTCACCCAGAATGAACATGGCAGAGCCAAGTTTCTAACAGTCTAAAGAACAGCTGGGGGAAAGGTATCCACATTTTATTCTTGTCTTCCCTGATATTTGCTTTCCTCCACGGTTAATATTTATCTTAACAATGGGTTTAATATTGCTTCAAGAAACAGATGATATAGTGAAAGAAAATATGTATCAGCAATGTATAAGATCAGTTCTCTACATTTTAAAATCCTAGTTTCCTTAATAAAGTTTACAATCCTTATTTTTAACGATAAAATCTAGTCTACAAAGTGGTATTTGTTACCCTCTGGTACACTTTAGTTTTCATATATTGTTCACTAATTAAATTTCATTTTACAAGGTAATAACGGGGATATATTTTTATGAATATAGTTTGATAGAATTGATAGTCCCTATTTGATGATAGTACTACCTTGCAATTAAACAATTTGATTTAGCCATAGAAAAGGTTTCCATGATATATCCTTTTGTTTTTGTCCACTGAATTGCTGCCAATTGTTAAGTGAAACTATTTGCCTTTTCATTGCAGTCTTTCATCCTCTTATTTAATGCACACTTAAATGTTCTTCTGAACTCTGGATGTTTGATGTCAGGCTTGCAAGGTTCAAAACATTTGATTTGTCAGGTGGTATCCTTTGGAAACAGAAAAAAAAAAAAAACCAGGAGAAAAAATAGTGTTGCCTCTGAAGACTTGGATGGGATATAAATTGTCTTTCATAGCCAGTATAAACCTAAGAGGGCTATGCCTCTGCAGGGTAACAGTGAGACTCTGTAAAGGAGAAGAATTCAAGCTTCTATTTTTGATGAATGGTTGTTTTCCTTTAACTGCGCTCGACTTAAGTTTTGTGGTCTTTTACTGCTAAGTTATGTAGTCTATCAATAGTAAGTTAAATAGTGGTTCAAGAGTCCTGTCTGTAGGACAGTTTCTAGTCATCAAATCTATAATCAGGCACTTGTATAATGGTATGAGGTGCTGCGGCACAGCTGAGTTTTTACATCATCATTGCAATCTATGTGACAGAAACTGCTGCATACTATGGATATGTTTTTCAGAGGCACTCTCTCCTAGTTCGTTGTTGTTGGAATTGCTTTATCTATGAAACACCTTTCCCACCTAACAACTTGAAAGTCCTCTGTGTATATTCCCCTTAGAAAAAAGGGGACTCACATATGGTGTAATGACAGCACCCATCAACTCTACTTCAGAAAAAAACCCTGTAGTATAGGGGACATGGCACCAAAGTTCTCTCAGGAAATTCTTTCCCAAAAATTACCACCTGATTGTTTATACTACAGGGAAACTGTTGGGAGGGAAAAAATAAGGCAGAGCCCAAAATCTTAGAAATGTAAATTCAGTGTCTATGCATCTGAGACATATAAGGAGAACAAAACACAGTCTACTTCAGCCTTACCTCTTCTGAAAACATCTTCTGCCAAAGGCAAGAAGGAAAACTCACCTGTATGTCTATTTGACCATAACGCTTAGTTTATATAAATTTGTCACTGTTTTACTTGTACCTATTCGTACTTGCAGTTCTTCAGTAGCTGACAAGCAGTAACCAACACACGTACGTGACATCACAGCTTGCCTATTGCAGTTTGAAATCGTGGCTAATGACTAAGCCAGGCTCATAACTAAGTTCTTCTGCCTTTTGTTCAGTTTTACATCAAATACAGCATATTACATCCAGATTTTGATAATGTAAGGCTTCTCTTCAGCCAAATGGCCTCTATGAGTAAGGCAGAAACATTTTTTATTTTCTAGGGCAATTAATTAGACATCCACACTGTCACTCCCACACTTAAATTAATCTCCATATGTTCAGTTATCATAGGAAAAAAATAAAGAAGATGAAGGGAAAACTCATAGACACATCTCTGCAATGTTTCTTTCAGGCACATAAATTTCTGTCAGCATGTTGGGAACTCATAACCTCATTATTACATGCTTAACTAATCAGCACACTTCACAATTTCCCCACAAACAGTGTCCCTGTCGCTTTTCATCATATATTTAAAATAGAGAAGAAAGAAGTCTCACTCATGAGACTTTAGTATTTTTGTTACGTGTCATTTAGCCAGGTTAATATTTATCTGTGAAATATAACTTCTGACTTAAATAGCACTTCTCAAGTTACTTGTTTTGTGATATATTGTCTTTGGTTTATTTAATTTCTTGTTTAATTTCCTTGTTAATTTGAAAAAAAATAAAAAATCCATACTTTCTCAGTCATTTTTCTGAATCGCCCAAGTTCTAATAGGGCTTGTTGGAAACCCTTTTACACCACGTTTTAAATTGTCATGTGTGATAGGTGGTCTCAGGTAAAAAAAGAAATATGGGAAGCACATATGAGCAAGTAAAATATTTTCAGAAAGGAAATATTTAGAACTTGCAGGTAGTGAAATGTATCCTGTACAAATTCATCCTGTAACAGCTTCTGTATCCCTGTCCTGATGTGGTTGTTTTGTCTGTGTAGCATTCCTGTGCTGTATGGCATTAAAACTGTTCCCAGCTAAGGTTTCCACCCTTGGCCCGGCGTTTCAGTTGCATAGCCATAGTCTGACTGATCAGTTCATATGAGGTATCAGACTTTACCATTGTACTGGTCTGGCTGAGCTGGAATTAATTTTCCCCCTAGCAGCCCTCATAGTGCTGTGCTTTGTACTGGTAGCTAGAAAGGTGTTGATAATACTACTGCTGGGCAGTGCTCACATGGCATCAATCTTGTTCCTCCAACATTCCCCCTCATCAGCAGGCTGGAGAGAAGGTCAAGATGTTGGGAGGGAACAGTCAGGACAGCTGACCCCGACTGACCCAAGGGATATTACATACCTCAGGACATCTGCTCAGCAGTAAGAGCTGAGGCGGGGGACATGAGGGCATTTGCTATTATGACATTTGTGTTCTGGAGTAACACTATGCACACTGAAGCCCTGCATCCTGGGAAGTGGCTGGACAGCTGCTGATTGTGAGTATACATCTTCTGTCTTCCTTTGCTTCCACAAATGGCCTTTACTTTTGCCTTCTTAAACTGCCTTTATCTCGAACCACAATTTTTTCCTCATTGTGTTTTCTCCCCACCCTGTCTAGCTGAGGAGGACAGTGATACAGTGGTTTGGTGAGCACCTGATGTCTAGGCAGGGTTAACCCACCACAACCATACAGGCACGAACCTTTCATGCCTGGTTGCACAGCTAACAAGACGCAAACTTGTCCCATTTTTTAGGCTGGTGCACACCTGTGTTTAGGATGCTTACCACATAGCTCTGGCCATAATAAGGAGCTCTCCTCTCCCAGCTTTTGGAAAGGAGAATGAGTCTGCTCAGAGTGCTCTCCAGAGCACTTCAAGGCATAGCAGGCACTTGAAACCTATAGTCTTAAGAAGCTGCCAATCTGCAAGATTTTATAGTCTCAGTAAACAAAACTAGATTAAGGAGGAAAAGGTTCAAACCTTTATGTAAAGATATACTTGATACGCTTTACATCAGTTATGTGACCTTCCCATCTTTAAGGCTTCGCTTCTGCATTTTCTTGAATCTCAGGATCTCTTTTCTTCCTTGGTTCAATATTTTCTTCCAGCTGCTGCCTGCTTGCTTGCAGCTTTATTGTAACTGGGTTATTCTCTATGTATAGCAGACATGTATAGGACATGTATATATATATAATATATATACACATATATATGTATATGTATATATATTATATATATCTATTTCTCCACGTATAGGACAGAGATGACAGCTTAGTTATAGCAGTTATTTTATTTTTTGTTTATTTTTTGAGGAGATTGGAGTAAGGTGTTGGAGCTTAATCAGTTGTATTCAGAAGCAGGCCTCTCTTGCTTCCTCCCTCTCATTTCTTCTACTTCTTCTCCTGCCTTTCTCCCTTCCCTTCCCTCCCATCCTTTCTCCCTTACTCTCTTTTTTTCTTCCTTCAGCCGTTCCTGGTTCATAGAGCCACTAAGGAATTCAGTGAGATTTTTGAATTGATTGTAGCTATGTAACTGGACATTAGAAGAATTGTTCTTCTGTGTAAGGGCAAATAAAACAGGAGTTTAGTGAGAAAATTTCCATGGAAACAATAGTTCAGTAACAATGAAAAATATTTGTTACCACAATGTGCTAAAAATAGCTTCATAAATAACTTTATAAACTTGGACTTTTTTTTTATTGATAGCATGGCAGGCAAAAACATTGCATTTTTCATCTGGAGGATAATATGGCTCATTACAAGTTCTGCGTCCCTAATTCTTGAATAGGATAACTTTGCACTTGCCAAGCTGCTTTTTTAAGCCTATTCTGACATTGGGTATTCTTGTTCATCTAGATACAGGGATTACAAAGGAAAGTGGGCTACATTTTGTGCTCAGCTGCTTACCACTTCCCAAATTCTGCTGCATTGTTGCTATTTCACAGTACTACTAAGATCAATTCAGTAGAAAAAGAGCAAGCAGCTTGGATCTGCACATTCTTCACTCTTGCAAGAAAGCTGTGTTTTCTTCTATCTTTCCTACATTTTTTAAAGACAGGTTGATTGGCAGTCCCTCTAGAAGGTACAATAGAGCAATTAAATTGGATAAGCAGTCCTCCTATGTGAGAACTGTCACTGTACCATGCATACTGCTGCTTCTGTCTTCAGGATTATGAAATTCTGTTTGGGATCTCAGTTTTATCTTAGTATCTCCAATAGTCATGGGTTTTCTTTTCTGCATTTGATTTTCAAGTACAAATGGATAAGAATATATCGGTGATGAGTTGTGTATTTAGCTATATCTAGTTGATTAATACTGATTGATGTTGTAAGGTATATGCAAGTTGGCTACAGACTTCAACTCTGTTTTTTTCTTTAATGGTTATATGGTCATACATTATTTTCCCATGGTGTTTCACTTTTTTAGTAAACTCAAATTTCAGTGGAATTATCTGTATAGGTTGTTAAGTGAACTAAAACATCATAGCCACAGAGGAAGGTGTTAGATTCTATGAAATGAAGTAGAATTATACAGACCACTTGGTCAACAGATTTGTCCAGCAGGGTTTTGTGGTCATCTGATGGGTCTTGCTTGATAGACAGACTGGAAGGTTTATAACAGAAGAAGCTAAAGTAAATACGCATGCTTTTTCTTTTTTGACAGCCTACTTAGGCAGAAATTGTCTGCAAGAACAGGAAGAGGAAATATTCCTGTCTTCTTGCTGACTGATGGGCCCTTGGGGCTTGCAAGATGTATAAGCTTAGAAGTCCTGTATTTAGACCTGCTACTTATAAAGCAATCTCTGACTATCTTTGTTTTGTCCTTTGAGTAAATGAGACTATATGCTTGAAAAGGTCATGCAGAAGCTCAGTTGCTCATTATTACAGTGTGGGTTTTTTTCCTGAGAAAAGGTATCCCTAGCTTATGGTGGTAGCTGGAACTGGATCCTACATAGACATACCTGGACTGTGGGTTTGGCTCTTAGGAGAAATGTTAGATAACTGGCCTATGTTCTCAAATTGAAAAGTAGCATTTGGATTCCAGACAGATAGGATGGTAGAAGTTTCAAAATGGGAGTCAGTAACTGAATCTCCACAGTTACATGAGAGTCTCCACAACTGGGTGTTACAGTGGTGAACAATACAGGTTTGGGCCTTGAGGTATCTTCTCTTCTAAGGACCTACTCCTCTATGTCTGTTTGTGAACCACTCCCAAGATGAAGTAGGTCATCAGCTTAAGTGCCTTAAGAAATTACTTATAGAAAGATAAAGAAACCATCACAATTAAAATATGTAAACATTTTAAAATCAACAAAGTCTGTAGGGGATCGGGGTCAATACACCAAGGCTGCATAGCCTCCTCCAGTCATATGATAGCAAAACAAACCTAATACTCTTCTTAACATGAAATTCTGAAAAAAAAAAGTAAATATTTTGAGATGTAAGATAGGACATACAATGATAAAATAATGAAAGCTTTGTCACATTGCTAAAAAAGAATTCTCAAGATCAATATATTTTTCTTCAATGTTTTGTCCACCTGTGTAGTGGGACTTGTTTTTAATTAGATCAGTGCAACTTTAAGTCAAACATCTGTGGTGTATTTATGTAGTGGTGGGAAAGAAAAAGCCTAAAATCTGAAGACCCTGAGAGGAAAGTTGAGACAGAAATCTCAAATGAAGGCTTGACTGAAAGAACAGATTGGAGGGGGAGGACATACTCTTTATTTACAACATTGAGGCAGGGTGAACACAATAACTGAGATCACTGAATAGGGCCACTATAGAGATGCAAAGAAAATGAAACCTGTCTTAGACGGAATTTCTAGGTTAGGTAAGGACAGCATGAAGCCTTCTTGACCATTCTGCACAGGTTTTTTTGGCTGACCAAATGGATAGGGCCAGGAGACATCTATATTAACTATCAAAAATGCCTTTTGTCTACTAGTGGCCCTTTCTGGAAGAGCAAATTTCTTCTAAAGCTAGTCTTAATATGCAGTTTCTGTTACGTAGACATGTTCTAATAAGGCACCTCTGTTTTGATTCAGTGTCCTCAATTTCTTTGTGCTTAGAAGTTTTGTGACCATGCTTAAAAATACTGGCTTCAAGTAGGCAGCCTTCTCTGTGCAATGGATTTAAAAAATACCCTGAGCGTCAGCATTTGCAGTCAGAACTCCTTATAAGTGGATTTTGGAGTGTCAGATTGAACATACCCTCCTGCCTGTGATCCAGAGTAGTCACCCATGTGAGATATTTTCAGCCTCTATTTGTTTGTGCTCCTGGCTCCACTTGCAGTGTAGGTCTTGCACAGTCAATTTAAGCTGACTCTCAATAAACTGTATTCTTCACTACCTGTTAAAGATACTGGCAACAGCTTATGCAGAATATGTAGACTGTAACTTGAAAACCTTCAACCTCAGAAACTGTTACGTTAAGAAACATTTTAAGGCATATTAAATAGTATGCAGTGTCACAGATTTGAAATGGGCATGTAGTAATAACCATCTCATGTAGCAATTATTTTAACTAGATCCCTTTCTTTGCATTACCTGTGTCTAGATCCAGAAAAGCATGTGTCTGTATGTGTTTTCACTGATAGTTCGTTTGACCCTGATATTGACCTTCAGCCAAGACCTAGCAGCTATTTACATTGCATACCTAAGCTTTACCCTAGCAGAGTCTAGCACCATGTTGGGAGGTCCCAATGTCCTCCCCAGAGGCTAACAGTCTTCCTGTGGAGTTTGGAAAGTGAATCCATGCTGAAATGCGGTTTATAGGCTGCAAATCTACGTAACTAATTACAAAATATGGAACTTCAAACTTGTCATCAGCTGACACTTGTGTTGAAATGGGTCTGTTTCTACCAGTAGAATTCCACATGTGGGCATAGGGCTGACGTGAGCATGGTCAGAGGCACTGGTAAACTCATAGGGCTGAAAGAGTCACCAAAATGCACTGAATTGGCTTCTGAAGTGTGGATATTCAGCTCATCCACTGCATGTATTCAGAGACTGCCAGCTGATGAAAACCTACTCTAAACCCCAGTTGTGATGCTAGAAGAGCCCCCTTTAACTGCTAACCTGATGGTTAAACCTCTCACCTGTTACATGGGGCACACAAGTCTGGTTTCTTTCTGTAGGAAATTTCAATCTGTCACTTCCTAGTGAAAGTGTGAAGATCAACCAGTATATGGTGTTCTGGCTTGGGCTCCTGCAGCCTTTCCTGGTGAAAGATGAAAGTCATTGTGTTGAAACACAGTGCTCTTCTTGGTGAGGCCACTTCCAGGGTGCCAACAGCTCTGTTGGGTGCTTGGAAATCCATTGTGACCCTCCTTC